AAACTCCATTACAAATGCCAGAACTCCTTTTTCAAATGGCAGAACTTGGTTTTCAAATGCCAGAACTCCGTTTTCAAACGCCAGAACTCCGTTTTCAAACGCCAGAACTCCGTTTTCAAACGCCAGAACTCCCTTTCCAAATGCCAGAACTTGGTTTTCAAATGCCAGAACTTGGTTTTCAAACGCCAGAACTCCCTTTACAAATGCTAGAACTCCCTTTTCAAATGGCAGAACTTGGTTTTCAAACGCCAGAAATCCGTTCTCAAACTAGTATTCTACAATAATCTGCCGTGGTTTATGTCTGAACTAGTCTTGAAAAAGATTAAAAATACTTCAAACTTTCATGTGAAAGCCTTCGTCTAGTAAGCACAAACTAGCCAGACTGGATCCCCACGTCTCATGAATTATTATTAGCGTCGTATATACTGTACCTTGTTATTCGCTTCATCTGTACTTAGATTCTCCCATTCCTTTTCACTTTTGAATCGGAAGTGAGAACTTCCACTGGCACTAGCTATACAAATAAAAGTCAAGTTGTACTTTTGTCAATAAGAAAGTACGATGAATCGTGTCTGAATTCGAACTACACACGTAAAAAGATGTGTTCACAACAGGCTTGTAGCAAGCTTGTCAACAAGTTGTAACAACGCTGTTATTTTATCAAGTTGCTACAAGGTTGTCACAAAGTTGTTACTCACAGCTTGCTGACAAGTTGTTGGAACAACTTGTACCAAGTCTGTTGAGCTCAACAACCTTGTAGCAAGTTGTCAACGAGCTGGGAACAAGCAGTGCGAACACATCCTATTGACAAGTTGTTGAAACAGCATTGTCACAAGTCTGCTGCAGGTTTGTTACAACTTGTGCGTTTTACGTGTGTAGCTTGTCAACAACATGTGTTCGCAAAAGGCTTGTAGCGAGCTTGTCAACAAGTTGTAACAATGCTGTTATTTTCTCAAGTTGCTACAAGGTTGTCACTCACAACTTGTTGACAAATTGTTGAATTGCAGGATGATAACAAGTTGTTGGAACAACTTGTAACAAGTCCGTTGAGCTCAACGACCTTGTAGTAACTTGTCAACAAACTGGGAACAAGCAGTGCGAACACATCCTGTTGAAAAGTTGTTGGAACAGCATTGTTACAAGTCTGCTGCAGGTTTGTTACAACTTGTGCGTTTTTACGCGTGTAGCTGAAAAAATATTAAAAACATTTCGATTTCTGAGTGAAGGCTCTCCATCGAGAGGTACTGTAAGTAGCGTGTGGATTCCACAATATCTTATGGAAGAACATAGCCAACATAGCAGCAGGTTTTTTTTCAATTTGAGGGCGAGGAGTTGCAGACGTTGCAGGAAGAACAGTACTCTTGTTTCTTACTTGCGTTATCAAGAAGGCTTTGAAAATCAGCTCCGATGGGAACGCTGCTTACAGCTGGTGAAGCATTACTTGGCTCACAATCATCATCTAAATAATTACAACAATAATCAATATCTATTACATCAAATATAGGCTCTTGAAGGTTCTTGAGTCGATCTATTCTACTATATTCCAATAAATTTCATACCAAAATCGTCCTCCTTGTATCGATCCAAGTTACTTTCTATTTTTCGCCTTGAAAACTTTCCTCTCTCGTGACTTATGCTGCTTTCCCCCACCTAAAATTGTTGTAGGAATGTCTTGTTTATTTCGACAAGTTTGCAACGCCAAAGATTAGTTATTAAGGCTATTAAGATATGAAAAATGCCAAAAGTGGTACAGATTGCAGTTGATAAAGACGAATATATTCTCCCAACAGAGTTCATGTTATCAATGGGTGATTCCATGCAGCGTATATAGACACAGCTGATTCCCCCTGTGATACACAGCTAGAAAGAGCGTCTTAGAATGAGTAAAACTGCAAAGATTGGTTGTTAAATGTTGTAAAATGAAGAAAATATAGCCCTGTGAAGTTCGCAAATTTTGTATATATTTGTATTACGCGCTGTAGAAATAACTACTTTCGGCTCAAAAATCGTTATTTTTCCCGCGCGTAATGCAAATATATACAAAACTTGCGAACTTCACAGGGCTAGATTTTCCTCATCTTACAACAATTCGCAACCAAACTTTGCAATTTTACTCATTTTAAGATGCTCTTTCCAGCTATGATAATGGATTTCGTTCTTCTTGTCTAGATCAAAATTTCCGTCTGTAGCTCGAATCATCCATTTAATTATCTTGATTGATTTGGTAAAAATAGACACCAGATTAGTCTGTACAACAACTTTCAACATGTTTGGACAGTAAGGTCGCGAGTTACAACTTTAAAAAATTTGGTTTTTCATATACATTACCTCGCGATCTAACTGTTCAACAACGTGAAATTTTCGGTGTGAACTTACTAATTTGAACATAAAAATTTCAATTCCGGGGTTCATTTTTTGGCAAGAACGAATAGGTGAATAAAATCTACGCCTTTCTCATTGTAAGGGATGTTCAAATCATAGACATAGTAAAGTGTTATTGTTGATACTTGCCAGCCTGTAAAGTTTCCAGATGAATCAGGCATTTCGAGCAAATTAAGCCCTGTGACGATTTGGTATTTATAGATTTGGAGTATAAAGGCTGATGATGTACACTACACAACTTTTGCCTAAAACTGTCGCATGTGCAACCTGCCTACCTTACTTGAGTAGTAGTGTACGTAGTACTGTGTAATAGTGTGTATTAAAATCAAGCACAACTCACATACCGATACGGCTATGACAACGTAGGTGGGTTGTGTGCTTGATTTACACAGTACAACTCAAGTTGTAAGCAGGTTGCACGCGACAGTTTTAGGCAAAAGTTGTGTAGTGGAAATCAGCCTTAAGCCCTTCGCGAAACAGTGACGGAAACACTATGTCTATGAAAAGTTGACTGAAACATTAAACACGCAGTCAGTTATTGGGATTTTATTATCTGAATAACCACAGTATAAACTGGTGTATACACACAGTAACTGAATAACTAACAGTAGCTGTGTCAGTGTCTCTTACATCTCGATCTGTGCCATCTGTTTCAAGCCCCGATTTCGACACGTCTGATGCGGGCTTTTCATCGCTCCTATGTGCACCAGTTGACCCCTTTTTATCATGTTTCTCGCCTTTTTCTGAAGGAATTCCGTGCTTTTTCTTATAATCCGAGTTCTTCTTTTTCTTATGCTGGTCTGGACGCATTATTCTGACCAATATGTAACCAGTAATTCTTAATTGAATCCATCGAATAATCGAAAATTGTCCGCCATTTTGAAACGTCGAAAATTGTCCGCCATTTTGAATTCGGCGAAGTACCAGTGTTTCCACAAGGGTTTTGTTTTGAAAGCCATTCTGCAGAAGTAATTTAGAAGAGATTTAAGTCGGCTAAAAGCTTTGTTAGTAACTTTATTTCATATTATAATTCCTCGTTGTATTTCTAATATAGCTATATCATACATTTAATACTTAAATATGTATTTATTTTCTGTAATTCGCAATCATTTTCTTTGAAAAATCTGAAAAATATACTTCCCGCGAGTATTCCTCACAAAGTGGAATTACAAAAGAGTTCAATTTCAAAAACAAATATGGCGGCGTCCAAGAGCGGATGAATTTTGAAAATCGACTAAATCAAAAAAATTCATTGAAATTTCAGTTTATATACATTGTTGTTTGTGAAATTAAAGAATATAAAACCTTCAACGTGTTTTATAATTTATACAACATTGAAAATTATCATAATTGGGACAAATTATGGTTTATCACAATTGACTAATTTGACTTCATTTGCCGAGTATGTCTGTTACCTGAAAGTGGATATTAACGGGTTATACTTGATAGTCAAAGGAAGAAAGGCTAGATATGTCCATAAAATACAGTCGTTTGCAAATATCTATCTTTGGTCTGTACAGAAGGTTGATTCGAGCTTGCGAAGGACGGGCTGGCTTCAAGGAGTATATTCAGGCAGAATTTCGAAAGAATGCAAAAATTCCACGTTCTAACATTTTGAGGATAGAGTATTTGATGCGAAGAGGTGAAAAACAGTTGAAAGATTTACAGCGAACAGAAATGCAATCTATAAGCGTGATGAAACCAGGTTTGAAGCGTGGATAATGGATTAATTTTTAATGAGAAAATTATTGTGGAAGAAATTATAATGCTTCCAGAAAGCTTTACAAGCTTATAAAATTCGTAACAAAGTGTTAATTATACACAATTTTAATTAAAGTGTTTATTGCGAATCATCAGCAGTTATAATTATTATAAACTGTGGATGAATTATGTACATTTGATGAAATGTATGGTTCATTAAAAATTGTGTACAATACACACTTTGTTTAGAATGCAGACATTCCAACTCGCCCGATTTTACCGGGAGTCTCCCGAAAATTCATGCAATCTCCCGGTCTACCGATTTTTATCAAATTCTCCCGATTTTTCAGAATATCGGGAAATATCATAAAAAAATTATAAATATACTGTTTTTAGCAACATAATAGTCTGTCTTGACCTTTTTTGAAGTTACTTTATGGCAATTTATATGATCACTTATAACAACATAGTCCCAAAATGCAGGAAACGCCATTTCAGAAGACTTAATTTTTATTATTTTTTCCAAGAAGAACTAGATTTCAATTCACTGAACAATCTCCCTAAATTTTACCTCCAGTGGTTGGAATGTTTGGGAATGTTTCTGTTCACTTTTGTTTTATAATGTTCTTTGCTTTTCATATGGTCTGCATCACATGACTCTAGCTCAATTTCTCATCGAGTCTATGTGTTTGCGCTTTTGCATAAATTACACTGCAATATTTGAAATTTATGCATGGCTCAGTGGCAGGGGCAGATACATTTTCTCCTTTTCAAATGGCAATTAGAGGAACTTCTACTGTTAGCATGTTTCAATCAGGGCCGCAGAGAGAGGGGGGCAGGGGTGGCAAATTGTCCCGAGGTGGTGGGGGCCCCTGAAAATTTTTTGTTGGGCCCCAGTCTTTTTTGTGTGTTAAATATTTCCGTGCAAAGGACAAGATACCTGTTTTTTGGGCTTAAGTACCGAAATTTGGCATAAAAAAATGAGATAAAGTCCCTGGAAAGCAATTGTAACGGACTTGTTCGGAAAAAATTTTTACCCCTAAAATGGTACACTGACCGAAAATTTTTTGGTGATGAGGGGGGGGGGAGGTTGTAGATAAGGGCCCCTAAAAAAATTTTGCCCTGGGCCCCCGCCAACCTCTAGGTGGCCCTGGTTTCAATTTCTTGAAACAATTTAATTGATTTGTGAGCTCCAGAGAAAATTCTCAGAAAGCTTTTGTTGATTTAAATAGATCATGGTTAAAGGCACAGTTCAGCCTTTTGAATGATGGTTTTTAAGGTGCATTTCAGCCCTTTTAATTGAAAAAACTAACCAGGAAAATCAATTAATAAACATAATTCAAAATCAGCAAAGTTAATGTTTTTAACATTTTAAAACATTTCTATTGTCAAAAACATTGAGTTTACTGATTTTGAATTATGCTTAATTGATTTTCCTAGTTAGTTTTTTCAATTAAAAGGGCTGAAATGCGCCTTAAAAACCATCATTCAAAAGCCTGAACTGTGCCTTTAAATATGGATTGAGATTGTTACACATCCATATCTTCAAATATACTGTACTTTATCAAGCAAATTTACTGTAAGTGCACCACAGCAACTGTCCAGTCACGCATACGTGATAAAAAGCCAATAAAAACGTAAACAAGTTTTAATTTCTTACTTCTGTGAGCCAAAGTTTGTTGGTAGTAATATATTTAATGTTCAGAATGAACCAAAAATTACAAATTGACACAAACAAATATAATGCATATTTTTTGGTTTTCTTTTCAACTGACCAGCAGTAATGTTTATTTAAATATACAATTAAAATGGTTTACATCTTTTGGTAATATAACTCAATATATATATACATTTGCAGCGCAATAATACAATTAGTTATTTCAATTTTTTTCAAATGTTGAATAATAGATAATATATAATACTATATACACAATAATACATCAAATTACTTAAATATTACAAATAGCCATACAAAACTACCTGTTGTTTACATGCTCGATTACATTTTCTAAATATACAATGTGTTAAAATGACTACGTGTTTGTTTTATGGAATAAAAAGTTATTGTAAATAACGCGAAATACGCATTTTTTGTTTCGTAAAACGATTCTTTCAACTTTTGATTTGAAATGCAATCATGAAATGCGTTATATGCTAATTTTTTTCATGATAATACGCAATCAATTGTTTTTCACTAACATGTATTATGTTAGTATGATTAAATATATTATGGTTAATTACAGCACCCAAAGTGCTATAGTTTGACTGAGCAACGTTAAATGAATTTAACTAAACTAATTATTCAACCTATAATCTTATAACAATCCTAATTTTCTCGCACAGAAAACCAAGCCTGCTTTATTAGATCAAGTCCTATCTAATATATCACACATAAAGTAATTTTAATTAATAATTACAACACCACAGCGACATTCAAAAAGTTTATTTTTGAACCAAATATCCTGGCGGGCTTTCTGGGTCCTGTTCAAGGTTTTTAATGAACAACTTGAACTCTAGAAGATTAGAAAAGAGAGTTAGTTACATGATTTTCAATATGCATTTCATGGTATGAATTTCTTGGTACTGTACTTCCTTGATCGTAATTTGCATATTACCTTGAAATATGGCTTCAACTTCAAACAGTAAATTGCATTACACTAAAATATTTCTACAAACTATGTTCTGCAATTAGCAATTGAGGCAAATTGCAAACGGCCTGCCGTATATTCTCTGATTTTGCAATTTACAGCATCGCGTAATATAATTTACTGTTTACTGCGGAAGCCAAATTTCAACGAGTTATGCATCGCTGATACTCAAACTAGCAAGAAAATAGAATAATCATGTCCGTGATTTCTGCTATCAAACTAAAAAGAAATGTCCGTGAAAATCTCAGCAAAAATGTAGATCCCCAAAATTTCTGGGAACCAGGTTCCCAGGTTGGTTCCGATACTTTTTCTACCTCTATATCTCTGACCGTTGGCCATCCAACTGACATTTTCAGACTCACAATGACATGCATGCCTAGTTATCCACTGTTATGATAATGTAAGCATAAAACGGAACGATGGTTACCAAGTACTTAAATGATATATGTGGGTGATGTGTACGAACATGCAACATTGCTATCACAGAAGCGTGACAACAGGCTCTAGAAACCGCGTCATAAACATGAAAACGACGTTGTTGATATTCCACAGTTTAAATTTAGCCCAGTGGCGTAACGCTCATTGGATAGAGTTAGTTAAAAAACTAAGGGGCCCCGACAGTTAAGCCTAGTTTCCATTTGGACGTTAGTTGTCGCTGGCACGACAAGTGGCTGATGTAATAGAGTGTCAACAAAACGTTATAAAACGCTGCAATCATTAAGACTAATTTGCAGATCACACACAAAAGACTATTATTATATTAGACTATTTCACATCTACCGCTTGTCGTGCCAGCGACAACTAACGACCAAATGGAAACTAGGCTTTAGAGCTCCCCATCAGCCACGGTCTATCGCCCAGAAAATTAGAAAACGTAAAAAATGCAGGTTAAAAATCAATGGGAAAATGCAAAATTAATAATGCTAAATACTAAAGCCTCCACATCTCAAATAAGACAAAAGTTATTCTTATCAGTTGTTACACGTGTTGGAGACTGTTATTGTTATAGACACGGAATTTTCCAGAACATTATATAAATATTCAATATAAAATATTTTAATATAATATCTCAACAGGAGCCCCCACACCAAATATGCCCCCTCGGTTACGCCATTGATTTAGCCATTGCAGTCGTAATTTATTTGCTCACACGAACAGAAAAGTTCGAATGTGCGGGTCCACCCGTGAGAAACGTTTGCCATATATGAGGTCAGTGAGGAACTCAACATTAACACGATAAAACAAATAAATGATACTTGACTTGGCAGGCTGAGGTTGGCAGGATGCTGATGTTGTGCTGTTACAGTAATTATGTAGTACAGCATTTCCTATAACGCTGGCAGCTGGCAATAGCAGCTTTCTGGGAACCGGTGTTTGTATGGCAATCGTAACGTACATCTGCCAGCAGTCGCCAGACTGTTTGTCTGTATGTGAATACAATGCAATCAACTAGCTGATCAATGCTAAATGCTTGTCAGTTTTGAAAAGAGGAACGGGAAGTATATTTGAATGGCATAATTTATAGTAATATTTTACCATTTGAAAAGGACATGATTTACATTATTTTCGGGAAGGTTTGAAAACTTGAAATTTTAATCGGAAAAAGGTTGAACATTTTTTGCAACTCTGATACGAACCAATTCTTTGTTTGCAATCACGTAATTTTGGGATTTCAGTTGACGGGCAGGTATAACAAAAAACAGCTATTTTAATGTATTGATCGAGTTTATAGAGACAGTTTAAGACTCAAAAGATGAATTACCGCTCAGTTGTTCTCGCTACGACCATTCTGATAGGAGAAAAATCGTCCACAAGTTGTTTCATTGCCCGTCATTTGGATGAAAAGTCACGTGATTGCAAACAAAGAATTCACAACTTTCCCGTATAATTGATAAACTTCCTGTTGAACGCACCAATCGCCTTCGGTTTTGGTGCAATTGACCAATCATAAAGAGGCAGGAAGTGACTGTAGGAATTATCAAATACACGAAGTTGCAGGTAATTAGCCATTCCGAAGTTGATGAGTGAACTGGAGACGAGTACTAGTGTTAAAAAGTGCCCAAATTGAGAAATGAACTAAATCACTAAAACGACCACTTCAAAATTAGTAAATAACAAAGTTTGAAGACGTTTACATGAATATCCTTCGAATAATAGGCTTTCGAAAATCGCGATATTTACTATGAAATGTGCTGAAATTTTTGTTTTTGGGGACGCGTCCCAAAAACGGTCTTTTAAAATCAGTAATTTCATAATTTTCGAAAGCGTATTATTCGAAGGATATTCATGTAAACGTCTTCAAACTTTGTATACTTACTAATTTTGAGGTGGTCTTTTTAGTGATTTGGTTCATTTTTTAATTTGGGCAGTTTTTAACACTCATCCCCAGTCCCAGGGCCGTCGAGAGGGGGGTGGGGGCAAATTGCTCCGGGCCCCGAGTTGCTGGGGGCCCCTGAAAAATTTTTGTTGGGGTCCGCCAAGGACAAGATATCTGTTTTCTTGGGCTAAGTACCGAATTTTGGCATAAAAAACTGAGATAAAGTTCCTCGAAAGCAATTGCAACGTACTCGTCCGGAAAAATTTTGTAATCCGGAAAAAAATTTTTACCCCTAAAATGGTACACTGACCGAAAATTTTTTTCCGTGAAAAATTTTTTAGATATGAGCCCCTAAAAAAAAATTTGCCCCGGGCCCCCGCCAACCTCTCGGCGGCCCTGCCCAGTCCTCTCATCAACTTCGGAATGGCTAATTGGTCAAACGTCTCAAATTGGTTTGTGCATGTGAGCAAATGAATTGACATGGAATAGTTTTATTACCAACACTTGCATCGCCACGAACGTCGTCAAAATTGTTTACCTTGAAAATTAATAAAACCATCTCCATCTAAATCCGCCTCGCGTATCAATTCCTGAAGTTCTTCATTATTAATACGTTCCCCTTGTTGTGACATGATCGTCTGGACTTCGACCGCGCTGCAAAAATAAACGAAGGATGACTTTAAAAATGTATTACTAGGAGGAGACGTTTTTGTATGTTATGTAACATGTGCGGTTATGACTACTTTCAAAATTTTTATTTTTCTATACCTACGTTTCTCAATTCGTAAACAAACTTAAAAAGTATGTTTAGTGCTTTATCTGTAAAATAATGCTAAAATGAAGACGTTTTAAATTGTACGCCAAAGAGAAAATGATGTGTGATGCGTTCAGTAAGTTTTGCTTATATTTATTAATTGCTGTTAATATATAACGTCAACTGTGAAGCATCATTTATTAATAATTGTATTTTATAATTGACATTTTGTCTATTATTTTACGTTCCTCAACCGGGAAATATAATTAAAAAGGTAGCTAAGTGTATAAACTAGAGAATAATTCTTAATTCTCTAAAAGAGATCTATTTCTTTTGCACTTTTATCAGTAGGGACTCTCAACTCTACACAACAGTCCTCACTTTATATCATGGATTGGATGTGATCTGGCTTTTTTTATAGATAAATAAAAATCCGTTATCTTGTGAATCGTCATGCTTTAGAGTTGACTTAATCAATATTGAAATGCATATATCAGTAAAGCTTCTAGAGCATTCTTATTTTCCAAGATAAGAATCTACTTTCTTATATAATCCCGCCTAAAAACTCTCCATTGCTCTCCGTCAGCTTGGCTAGGATTAATTGACATATTTGCACTGAACTAAGACAGCTCCTGCATAAAGATGCAACATCTGTGCAAGCGTAAACACAAGATGAATTTTATAGGCTATAAAAAAACAGAGATAGTTTGTCTTGCTGATTTCTCTGTTTACCGCATTGACAGACAGACGAATTAGCAGTCGAACTACATGCAAACATGTTTTAATCAAGATGAGTTTGCCCCAGGAGGGGGCTTCCTCGAACTCTATCTTGTCTTTAATTTGTCGAAATTCCTCCAAATTTATCATCAGTCTCTCTAAGATTGAAGTATTTCTGGATGATTTCAGCTGTAGACGAAATTTTGATCTATAGACAAGAAGAACCAAATCCATTACCATAGCTGGAAAGAGCATGTTAAAATTAGTAAAATTGCAAAGTTTGGTTGCGAATTGTTGTAAAATGGAGAAAATATAGCCCTGTGAAGTTCGCAAATTTTGTATATATTTGCATTACGCGCGGGAAAAATAACCATTTTTCAGCGGAAAGTGATTATTTTTACAGCGCGTAATATAAATATATACAAAATTTGCGAACTTCACATGAGGGCTATATTTTCTTCATTTTACAATATTTAGCAACCAATCTTTGCAGTTTTACTCATTCTAAGACGCTCTTTCTAGTTGTGGTGTTGGATTTCGTTCTTCTTGCCTTGATCAAAATTTAGTCTGCAGCTGGAATCACCCATCACCTTATTTTGATTCGGATTGATAGGGATACAACTACCTGAAAAATACAAGGAGAACTTCGACGTTTGAGCGAAGGCTTCCCGTCGTAAAGTTGGCTGCTACCTTCACTATAGAAACGTCGAAGTTCTCCTTGACCTTGTATTTTTCCAAGGGTGCATGGGTAGTAGCGAAGTAGTTGTAGTTCGCTACTGTGTAGCGAACTACAATTTTCAAGTAGCCAGTAGTTTTTGACTACTTTTTCAAAACAGTAGCTGTAGTTATAGCGAACTACATTTTGCCTAAAAGTAGCCAAGTAGTTGACTACTTTTCAAACGGCGAATCGCTATTCGCTACTTTTTAAAATTGTTAGCAACTTGATAGAATAGCATGATATTGAGACACGGTCTGCTTAAAATCAATACTCAATAGTCAATTTGCACTTTTAACAATGTATATAGTGCCTACAAAAATGTTGCTTTGTGTTTACTGTTGCTACTCGTAAGTCGATTTGTTATAGGTTACATTACAGCCTGAGTTAGTAGATGCTCCAAATACAGTAAAACTAAAAAATATTATAGCGTAGCGAAATAGCGAAATATAGTTCGCTACAATTTTTAAGCAGTAGCTGTAGTCAGTAGCGAACTACCTTCCCTCAAAAGTAGCAGTAGTTGTAGCTGACTACATATTTTTCAAATAGCTGTAGTTATAGCGGCCACCCTTGTATTTTCAGGTAGTTATATATCCCTATCAATACGATCGAAGCTTTCTTATTATTGCCGCTACCTACATTGCACGGTACACTGAGGCCCTTCAATATTTTACCTTATCTTGCCGTCAGAGTTCATATCAAAAACTTGAAACAGTTCTCTCAGTTCAGCTTCCGGGTCCATGTCTTTCATTTGTTTTTTCATCAGACTCAGAAATTCTTCAAAATCCACTTCGCCATTTCCTGCCGAGGTAAAACACAAATATTTCTTCTTCTGGTAAAAGCCATGCATGTTGTGCACGTAAAGGACGATCTACACACTGAACAATTTTTGCCTAAAACTGTCGCATCAACCTGCTTACAACTTGAATTGTACTGTGTAAATCAAGCACACAACTTACATTATCGTTGTCGTAAGGGAGTTACAAGTTGTAAGCAAATTGCTCAATTCTGTAGAATTTTATTATAATTATTTATTATACCGAATAAAATTTTTTTTGTTATATAGTAGAGAGTGAGATACTGAAAAATACACAGTGACATATTTTCCATATCTTCACTAGTGAAGATATCGATCACGTGACTTTTAGTATTTATACAATTTTTTGCTTGGGACTATATAATAAACAGAACATTATAACACGTTGGCTTGAAGATATGACTTTTATCTTCTCGTGTTAAAAACAATATTGTTTCCACCACTCGAAGATAAATGTCATATCTTCGCGCCGCCGTGTAATATATCCTCTATATATTTACGGTTGCAACGACATTGGCCTTCAATAGCTAGCGCACACATTACTTTCGGGTTTTTTAAAGGCAGAACTATAATCCGTTTATATATGGGTATTTAATCCCTAAACTTCGTAATCTTCGACAATAAATGCAACATATAATATATAACATGAAACACACTCTGAATAATTAGCATCTTCTAAACTCACGATTCGAGCTATTTAAAAAAGATATTAGTATTGTATTGTATACTAAATTACGCGCTGTTTCTTACACGGGAGGATAAAAAAAGATGTATTTTGTGTTTAGAGGAAAAACTCTCTATTTTGAAGGAGAAAAACAAACAATTTTTACTTAATTAACAAAAGAACGGAACTAGTTTCGTCATGTATAATCATAAAAAGATATTTCTAGTAAACAATGATAACAAAAGAAGGAATGCACGTAGAGTTTAATATATATATATATATATATATATATATATATATATATATATATATATATATATATATATATATATATATATATATATATATATATATATATATATATATATATATATATATATATATATATATATATATATATATATATATTTACCATCCGCATCGGCTTCTGCTATCATTCGCTTCAGTTCTTCATCTGTTGGTCTCTGACCAAGAGAATTCATGACCACTTCCAATTCATCGATTGATATCGTACCAGAACAGTCCGTATCGAAAAGTAGGAAGGCTTCTTCAAATTCTTTGAAAATATTAAAAATATGTGTTACTTAAATAAGCACAATTAATAATTTCTATACCCATGCATGCATGTGTGGGAAATTTTGATAATACAAGCGTGGGGGGTCCATTGTAGGTAGAACGGATATCTAAAGCGTGGGACCCAGAGTTATCCATGCAATGTAGGTCTATAAGTATTCTACAATAAACTGTCGTGGTTTGTGTCTGAACACGTTTGAGATATCTTTTTCAGGTAGTTCAGACACAAACCACGGCAGTTTATTGTAGAATGCTGCCTACACTGGACCACCACGTTTGAGATATCTTTCTCAGGTAGTTCGGACACAAACCACGACAGCTTATTGTAGAATACTACCTACACTGGACCACCACGTTTGAGAAATCTCAAACGTGGTGGTCCAGTGTAGGTAGTATTTTACAATAAGCTCATCTACAATAAGCTGTCGTGGTTTGTGTCTGAACTACCTGAAAAAGATATCTCAAACGTGGTGGTCAAGTGTAGGTAGTATTCTACAATAAGCTGCCGTGGTTTGAGTCATGTCATATTTACACTGATGCATATTATATGCACTAAAAATTACTGGAACCACTGAGCCTATTGAGTATTTTAATAAAATATAAAACAACGCCAACTCCGAAAAATATTAAAATGTTTATTTTCGGAGTTACCCTTGTTTTTTTATTTTATATGCACTCGGTACTGTCAATTATTGCGGGCCACGTTTTCTTGTAGTTATATACATGGGGATATATAAACCACGATAAAACAGGCAAACGTCAAAACGAGGCTACTGCGGAGCAAAAGTTCAACTCTACTGAGCGTAGTTACTGAGTGAGCTTCGAATATTCTTCGGAATGTAATTTGAAAACGGTGGAATGCCTATATTATAGAGAGAGTGCTCAGTACCGCAACGAAAATGCAAATAATATAAGTAGAGTAATATATTATACACATATGTAGTTATATACCGCTGATATTACATGGCATGTTGCATCGTATATGCATATAATGTTACAATCTATATATTCGGTATGTACGGGTATATATATATGTTGTTTATATACTTCGCTATAAAGTCGTCATACGCTATTGACCACAATAAATATATCGTTGAAAGAATCGTTATTGTGATAAAGCGACTGCGTATATCCTGTGCGCCAAACGAATGTTAATTTTTGCTAACAACACATTCAGTTATATTGCATCGGCTATCATGCTTGTTGAGAATATCGCAAAACAGCGCGGTTTTCAGATCGTATATTGAAACACAGATATATTATTACATCATGTCGAGTGAATTGTTATCACATGCAGCCTTGCCATTCCTTACATATGTTTCCTGTTTCATTAATCTGCTATATATACCTTTAATCTGGTCTTGTGTGAGCTCTCGTTCAACCTGTCAATACGAAAACCACAAGCTTTAGCAAAGAAATACGGTCTTTAAACGACAGCACTAAACAGGCTCGCAAACACCTCAAAACATTGAGCATTTCTCCTGTGGATAAGCGTTTCATTATACCCCGTTATCTTCAGTAAATATTCCCCTATTATTCATGCACGGCCTTACCATATTTCCAGCTTTTGACAGCGCTTTAGAATCGCTTTCCCCGAGGCTACAATGTAGCAGTTTTTAGCCAGCGAACTTTACGTTTCTTCCAGTGAGATCTAACTCACTAATGGGGAATGGCTTTCTTATCTCATTATATATGTTTGGATTTGAACCCGCAAGCCTTGACTTATAAAAAGTTCCAAAGAATTATCTTTATTAAATATTTATGCGAGCAAAAATATGATAGACAGGACACCTGCTGGGTCACGAATGAAAGGGCGTCCTATTGGTCTGTGGAATAATTGTTACACAAATTTGAGTCTCTCCTATCGACCGCTAAATACAAGCAAAGTTTTTAATCATTTATGCAGGCGAAATTCGACCAAAGCATTTGCCGAGCGACTATTAAGCATGATTGATAAAAATCAAATTTCAAATGCTGTTGATTGCAATCTGTCTAAAGGACGTGTCGAATGCGGCGCTATCAGTATATATATTCATGACCTCAAGGCTCGAGCAATTATAATGCCGTGGCGTGTATGTAATATGGGAAGATATTTTAGGTTTTATATCGTGAGGATGAAATTTGCGGAAGACACTGATAAAGCTGGGTCGAGTCAGCTGGGAGAATTAGTCTTCCCCCGGGGAAATCAGAAAAAATTGAGCCACTTTCTGCCGGAAAACTTAGGAACAATTAAAAAGGTTGAAAAAGAATTCTCTTTTTAAATATAGCTGCAGGTTGAATGACTTAATTGGTGGGCTTAATAGCGAGCTATATATAATAGCCCACAAATGAAAACAATTGTCAATTGAGCTCAAGAATTGAAATACCTGTAGATGGCAAAGACCTCAGAGGTTTTTTAAGACCATTTTTTCCATATTGTGTATATCAATATTGATGCATGTAAAGTAACTAATCGATACGGAAATAGATTTACAAGCAAGCACAAGCTCCCCTGAAGAGGCTTTTATTTACGTTCTTAGTTAGCGGGTATATGCCCATAAAACTCGCTTGCCACCAGAAAACCTCTGCACCGAAGGTAGTGGATATATAGTCCTCATTACTTTCTCCTTGACTTGCAGCAAGTCTAAGGCTTAGCCGATTTATTAGTGAGAGTTGGCAGTCTGAGTCACGCGAGCTTGGTTAGCTGTTCTTAATGGAATGCTTTCCCGAGGCACTATCATGTATTCTATTGAAGTTAAAACATAGTTGGAACACTCATCCAACCTTTATTTTGTTAATCTAGAGCTTGAAATGTCCGCTGTAACAATGCGTGACTACCAACTCCGTATCAACTCTCTGGCTTGTTTGATCGCGGGGAATCCGGATTTAGTCGTAAAACAAGATAAATATTGAAGAGGTGTACACTTCTTATCTGCGAACGCGGAATTTTGGAAAAAAAGAAAAGTTTGGAAGATGGCCTACCTGTGTGTCACTGTGGTGCTTAGTGTGACCTCTGGAGCAACAGATCATGATCAACCTATGAGATTGAAGTTGTCTTGTCTTTAATCAGTCTTCTTCTATTGACCCGAATTCGAAAATTAGCTGCAACAATTTTGCATTATTGATCCGGTTGACTGCACTGGAGTTATAAATTTCTCGGGGTCTTTTAGGTGTCACAAACATAGAGATTATAAATAACACCAGAGAGGGCATCGTAATCTTAATTTAAATTCAGTCAAAGAAAGGGAACGCGGCTATTGGGGGGCAAAAAATTAAAATGCTAAAATAAGAGCGTGTTTGAGCCAAAATCTTTAAATTCTTCTTTATGGCAGTTAAGTTGTCCCGTTTTGATTTTTACCCAGCATTTTTACCTCAATTTAGTCCATAACACATTATTGAGAGCGCTCCAAAATAATGCTGATGTGAGCAATTTTGATCTTTTCAAGAGAAGTTAGTCGTTTGAATTCAAAATTTCGGGGGAATGTTTGTAGTAATGACATGCAAAACATATAAAACACCCAGTTTTGTTATTCTTGTTTTAAATTTTTCTGGTTTCAAGTGCAACCCAAGAATTGTGTGGTGTTCATCCGGGATTTCAATCAGGGCCTCTTTAAGGATTTTCCCGTGGGGCATTTTTTGAAAAGGGACTTTTCTGTGATATAATATATTAGAGGGGGTAGCAATGGCTGAACTCTGAAGGCTACGTGTGTCGCCAATATACCACTCATGAATGGGGGGTGGTCTGGGGGAGTATTCCCCCAGAAAATTTTTGAAATTTGAATCCCGGAAATGTCATTTCCTGCATTCTGAGCATCCATATTTCCTATACTTGTATTTGAAATAAATAAAGGAAAAACGCACAAAAAGTAAAACAAATTAGCCACCATCATTTATCATTACTTATTAGAGGGATAATCCCAAGAACATTTTTGAAATTTGAATCCCGGAAATGTCATTTCCTGCATTCTGAGCATCCAAATTTGCTCCAAAATTTATGCTAACTATACTTGTATTTCAAATAATAAAGGAAAAAACGCCCAAAACGTAAAAAAAATAACCATCATTTATCATTACTTATTAGAGGGATAATCCAAAGAAAATTTTTGAAATTTGAAACCCGGAAATGCTATTTCCTGCATTCTGAGCATCCAAAAAATAAAAAAATTATTAACAATAATTTATCGTTACTTAGTGGTAGAAAAAAGTGACAATTTAAATCGATTTTGTTAAACAAGGACAAAGGATAACGCCTAAAACTTACTTTCCGTTTATGTATTTGTTAATCTTCGCTGGTTTGTTTCTATAATTTTAGGGAAAAGGGACTTTTCCTGGGGGGGCAAAATGTGATTTCGTGGGGGGGGGGCACAAGGGGGGACGGGGGGGGCATTTGCCCCCCCCCCAGCTTGTATGTTAAAAAAGGCCCTGATTTCAATTTCCCCCCATTACCGCGCTCCCAAATGGTATTAAACTCCTATAGTATAGATACAGCTACACATGTAAAAACGCACAAGTTGTAACAAACCTACAGCACACTTGTAGCAATTCTGTTCCAACAACAGGATGTGTTCGCACTGCTTGTTCCCAGCTTGTTAAAGGTTGTCGAGTTCAACAGACTTGTTCCAAGTTCTTGTTATCGTCCTGCAATTCAACAATTTGTCAACAAGTTGTGAGTGACAACCTTGTAGCAACTTGATGAAACAACAGCATTGTTACAAATTGTTGACAAGCTTGCTACAAGCCTGTTGCGAACACATCTTGTTGACAAGTTGTGAGATTTTACTTTTGTAAGCTAGTTGCTGTAGTTTCGTGAGCGGTACCTCAGCTCACCCACGTAAAAATCTCACAACTTGTCAACAAGAGCGTGTTCACAACAGGCTTGTAGCAAGCTTGTCAACAAGTTGTAACAATGCTGTTGTTTCATCAAGTTGCTACAAGGTTGTCACTCACAACTTGTGGACAAATGCAGGACGATAACAATTTTGTTGGAACAACTTGTAACAAGTCTGTTGAGCTCAACAACCTTGTAGCGAATTGTCAACAAGCCGTTGACAACTTGTTAACAAGCTGGGAACAAGCAGTGCGAACACATCCTGTTGACAAGTTGTTGGAACAGCATTGCTACAAGTCTGCTGCAGGTTTGTTACAACTTGTGCGTTTTACGTGTGTAGTTTATGGTTTTCATTCGTTTCCAACCATCAAACTGACGTCATTTGATCAATTTCTAAACTTGATTCTTTTTTGATTTATTTTATTATTTTGGTTAGGGTTGGGGTTGGGGTTAGAGTAGGGGCAGGGTTTACGTTAGTTACATAGCCATTTAACATCTCTTCCATATTCCGAAAATGACATCACGTCAGTTTGGTTGTTGGAAATAAGTGCTGACCAGAAAGCCACGGTAATAAAGTACCCCAATACTCCATTGAATACCTCATTATCATAGTTCTCTTCTGTGGTCCATACCTCCAGAGATACAGCTGAGGTAGTACTACACGAAGTTTCTTTGCTATACCTCTGAACTAAAATACTGTGGGCTCAAATGTATATTTTTCCAAGAAAGTGGAACAGAAAATTTGGAAAAAAATTTTCTGAAAAAGTTCGAATTTAGAAATGAAACTAGTATTGTCAAGACGTACTCGAGGGAAATGTGTAGATTATGACGGTGTTTGAAAGTGTTTTTCCTACTAGATATATTTTGCAATGGATCTGGTAAACAAGAATACGCAAATGTATGTATATTAATATATTAACCTGAGATCAGGCTCTATTTTACAAATAATAGCCTGACACAATCCTTTATAATCCGATCGCTTTCCACCCACAGCAAAGTTTACATTTAGTATCCAATCAAAATGTCGCAGGAGAAATTTAAATATTTTCCCACAACGACAACAACAATCTAATTATAGTTGTGATCACTATAAATATATCAACAGCAATAGTATAATCTAATTAGCACCAACCAATCAAATGACAGATTAAAAAAGCTTTTATCTCATAAACCAATCAGATTTACAACCGAAATACGGTTGTAAAAACATGGACTTTTGTTAAGATTTGAATCAGGCCTATTTATTTATTTATAGGCCTGATCGCAGGTTATATATTAATAAGCCTGGCGTACTTAATCGTAGTCTCCTACGCATACCTACTTTAATAGCGGGGCCCAAACCTGCTAAAGTAGGTTGGCATTGGAGACTAACTTAATTGATGAAAACCGATCATCGGAAATCCAATCAATCGATGTTAATTACTTAATTGATATCGATTGACATTGGTCAGTCGATGACCAATCGATAGTTACAAAAAACTATATTTTTGCAACAATAGATAGTGTTCAACTTCGGAAATGTTGTATATAAATGGTAGCTGTCAGTTGTCCACCATCTTCCGCATGATACAGCTTTAACCCATTGAGACCTACTGTTCTCCTCTTGACAAGTAAAATTGTCTGGCATTTATAAACAGGATAATAAATTAGGGTGCAATGCAACTTAGTACCTCTAAATAAGTGTAGCTGCGTTTGCAACTTACAGCTACTCAGGCTGGTTAGGTCTGAATAAGACTAGTGTATAACATTTATGCACCAATCAATGTTATGCCCAACCCTAGGGAGGGCGGGGATACACAGGGAATTGACCTGATTTCGCTGCTTCTGGGTCGGGGATTTTATTTTATTTGACATCAAGGAAGCTCCCAGGGTCGGGCGTTTTGACATTCTTGTTACCAGTCTCCTATCATTTTCGCAAGTG